ATACAAATATAGAACTACTTACCTAGCACCAGTTAGCCTACAAAACTCAAAAAATCATATCAAGACATTTACCAAAGTAGTTTCTGGAGCTCCATAATACACTATTAAAACCTACTACACCACATATTTCAACTGTAAGTCCTAATCTATTTATTACAAATAAGACTATACCAACACGAACAAGCTGGATACTGGAAAAATTTCAAAATACACTGATAATAGGGAAAGTTTTCAAAACCAAACTACTAAAAAACAATATACAGATCATACATTGGCTACCTCCAGCTGTAGATGCTAATGTATCACTACTTACTCATTGTACTTCTTGTATACTAACAACAGCTATAAATATACATAGACAATGCACCATTATTATTCCTATACAATACTGCATAACAATTCAAGCTACATGCTCTAAATACTTATTTACTAACATCTCTGATCTAATTTCTAACCACCCTCTTTTCAATAACATGAATACAAAAATAAACTATCACAACACCAGGCCTACTACTCTACAGAGGTCTGCATGTATTACTGTTACCCCCAATCAAGTATTCAAACAGAGACCTATCCAATCTCGACTAGATCACCTTGCACAAATCAATTCATAAGCCTCAAAACTTTGCTTTTATATATATGCTATACACACCAATATAAATTCTTCATGCTCATCTGCATTATTTGTTTGGACACTTACTCCAACTAACATATCATTTGCTGCAAGTATTACCTTTTGGCCATCCAAAACCAGAGCATATCTTGTCGGCATAATTTCTATGCTAGCTATAGCACCACCAGATTGTTACATCACAATTCTAACTTCACACTCCCCAACAATTAATATAATAAACTCAGTTCTACAAACTACATCCAACCTCAATCTAAGAATACAAAAACAAAACTTTTGGCTACTCAAACAACTCATACACACATTATTGCATGGAAAAATATTACAATTAAATTTACCTTGATTGAAGCTAAGTCAAAACCTCCATTATTTCAATGCACAATACAGAACGCTACATCAACACAACCCAATAAAATTGAACTTATTCCGCATGTACTTGACCACAATAACTTCTTTATAAGTTGGAATGGCACAATTGTTGAACATAAAACCCGCAGATTCATCAGACATATACAAAATGCAAACAACATAGCCAAATGGCACTCCCTCAACAGAGCTCAAACTTGGAACCAGATATGACAAAATACAGACTGGGAACTACTACACAACTTCATAAACTATGATAATAAGCCACATACTCGGTTTACACTCCCTAAACTATCAAAAATCAAAAACTTCAAAATTAAGTTTCTTCTTAATGAATTACCTAAACTTCTAAATTTACACTTTTGGCATCCCAAAACCTATATTAATCCAACATGCAAGAGATGCAATGCTGATATCAAAAATAATACCCATTGGCCTATATGTGATAAAAACCAGACTACTATATATCAGTTAATTCATGAAACTATCACTAAATTCCTAAATAAACAAAAGATACACCAACAAGCAGCCTCCATAATTTTACAGAGGTTCTTTACAGCTCCCAATAATACCCTCTCTATAACTGCAATACAAGGTTTTGCTCCATCTAATATTCAGGAGATTACTACCCTATCTAAGACCCAATATATACAATTATTGTACAAGATTTCTAAAAATATATACAAAACAATCTGGCAAGCATAATGTATTGCAATACATCAGCAGCAAACAACAACTAACCCACTTACTATACCACCCCCAGAACACCCACCCACACTACAATATAGTATAGCAAAATTCAATAGATGGGCAACTATTTTCCCTACCACTAACATATCTACATCTTACATTGCTACTATAAATCTAGATGAGGTCTGTTAGCCTACTCTAGTAGAGTTTTAGGCCGAGGATAAAGTAGTCCTAGCTGTAGGTCCCTGTAGTAATTCATGTATTTCATTCTACAAATGTAAAAAACATAAATTATTCAATAAAGACCGAGGCCAGGCCTCACTCTTAAAAAAAAAAAAAAAAAAAAAAAAAAAAAAAAGAAATCGGATGATGGGGAAATTTTTGATCTATTTTATGTACGTACATACGATTTTTTTAAAACTTTTTGGGGCCTTTTTTGTCGGCTTTTTTTTAATAGTTAAGTTAGGATTTAGAATTATTAGTAAAACAGTATAGGTGAATTTTGGTAGGGCTCATATTTTCAAATCGAGACCTCTAAATTTCACCATCATCCGATTTCACGATCATCTGCAACTCTATTTCAGTATTTTCCGATGTGATTAGCTAGAATTCATAATAGTGCACAACTATAATTATATTAATGTAAAAATTTTTAATTACAATTCAAATATGTAAATTATGAATTAGCTAGTAAACTTGAAATTGATATTTGAGCAATTCATTGATATTTCTATTTATCAAATGTCATCGCTACTAGTCCTTCATTGATATTTGATTGTTGTATGAAATGAAGAAATTATTGGCGAAATAATAAAATTTGTTACTGGTAAAAAATGGTAAACATCCTTATTTGTTATTTTGGAGTTTTCTGTTTTTTTTTTGGTAATGGGTAAATAATTCGTTGATGATAAGAGGTGGATCCATGATTGACAAGCTAGGTATATAAAAAGGATAATTAGTTACAAAAAGTTTGTAAATTGAAATGACAAGCCCACTTAACGTTCTTTACTAATAAAAATATTTTATTCACGTTATAAACTTGATCAAATTACGATCATTTAAATATTCATTACAATGACTAATGCACTTGTCCTACTTAAAATATTTTTTGCTAAATAAAATTTATTTACCGACACTTTTTGATCCATAACCCTACTTACCTAGCAACACCCAAAAATCAATTCCTGTCAGAATCATTAAAAAATAGCAGCACTTTACGAGATTGATATACCGTTAATTTTATATAGTTGAGGCTCGATTGCAATGTTTGCAATCTTAATTGTCGCCACTTTCAATAAACTCATCCCAGAAGGAATCAGTTTAAATCTTTTGAGGGACGGTTTGTTGTGTATGCTGAAATAATGGGTGCTCTCAAGCGTCATTCTCGATGTGATTAGCAAGTGATCGCAATGGTACTCAAGCAAAGTTATATTTACATAAAATTTTTATTGAGAATTAAAATATGCAATTTATGACGTATTTGAAATTTTCTCAAGCATCATCTTCGATGTAACTAATTAGTGATCGTAATGGTGCTCATTTATTAGAATCAATTGAAATAAACATTGCAGTCAATATATGAGTGGTTCTTTTATTATTCGTCAAAAATAAAAATAAAATAAAATAAAATAAATGAAAATACAAAAGCGAAAAATAAAAAACAAAAATGACCGATAAACAAGAAGCAAATGATGCGGATTATCGAAAATATTCTGGCGAAGCATCAACTTCAGCAGTCCCTGTTGCTCCGTTTACAAACTTTACCAATTATTGTTAATAAAAATGTTTAATGCAAGAAGTAAAATAATAATTTGTTGTTAAATGCGATGATCCATGGCAATGTTACTTGTGCGGTCTCTTTGAAAACTCAATTGATTGTTGGATTTTCAAGACAGGGATAAAAAAAAGATGGTTTGTTGTAAAAAGTTTGTTGATTTAAATGATACATTCATTTCAATATTTTTTATTAATAAAAATGTCATATTTACGTAATAAGCTTCATCAAATTATGCATATTCATCTTAATGATAAACATGCTTGACTAATTTAAAATATTCCCGACACTTTTTGACCCATTAATTAAGGCGCTTGAGAACATCCTTTATTACACGTATTCTAATATTTTTGTTTATTTTAAGTTTTTGGATTTGGAATATTTCATATTCTGTTACTGAAAACCGACCCTCTGTATTTCTAATTGCTTTTTCATAAGATTGAAAATCTCTATAACCACAACCATTATTTTGATTAAAATTATCATACATGCGAATATCATCAAAATGTGGTCCACGTTTAGAACTACAATAAATTGCATATTTTAATTCTCAATAAAAATTTTATGTAAATATAACTTTGC